AATTCAACATATAATGATTAAATTTGAATAAATGAATGACAAAAATTGATTAAATCTGAATTACGACTACATTATGTTCCACAATAAAAACCGACTATACATCACCAGAAAAAGTACGTGAAACCAAAATTAATATAACTTCAACTTATAAGGCGTAAGTTGAAGTTATATTAATTAATTACAGTATTATGTACATCTTTTGGTGATGTATATTCAGCAAGAGGTTATTGTGGGCGGCTAATCACAAAATATTCTTAGTACTCACGGGAGATAACAGGTTAATTACAGTATTATGTAAGGAAACATCTTTTTGTTATATTCAGCAAGAGGTAACAATGGGCGGCTAATCACTAAATAGCTATCTCTTCCCAACCATCGGATGGAGAAGCTGCGTGTATCTTTTTTCACCAATCCATAGTATTTAACATCAGTCTTATCGATTAGTTATATTAATTTCGATTCTATTCTAATTGTTTTTTTTTTAATAGTTCCTACTTCCTAATAAGCTATCAGTTATAAACGCCCTGAATATATTGGGCTAATCACTAAATAGCTATCTCTTCCCAACCATCGGATGGAGAAGCTGCGTGTATCTTTTTTCACCAATCCATAGTGTTTAACATCAGTCTTATCGGTTAGTTATATTAATTTCGATTCTATTCTAATTGTTTTTTTTTTTAATAGTTCCTACTTCCTAATAAGCTATCAGTTATACACGTCCTGAATATATTGCTATAAAAGGATAATATTATTTTAATTACTATTATTACCCTTTTTTATATGTTATACGCTGGCAGGACACAGTGGGGAATGATAAGACGAGATGAGGTCATATTAGTTAGTCTATCGTGCCAAATTCACCAGGAAAATCACGATGGTTTTCAGGGGGAATCACATAGAGGTCAACCTGACATAGCTAGCAATATTGTTATTAATCCATATTACTAACAAACAATCCCCTTTCCCCTCTATTATTACGTTATAAGGACTTTAGAGCATACATTGTAATTAAAATAACATGACAACAGCTACGACCAATATAATATTTCAAACATCCTGAGGGATTAAAGAGTCGTTGACATTACAAAGTAGGGATTGCTTTCTATTGGACACCAAAAGTAGGAGAATTGGTTAATAGGGTTAATTTATATTGTCATATGTGTACTTTATTCATTGTACGGGTAATGTATTACTAGCTAAACGATGCAAGTTGTCGATCATTGTTTAGAAAGTAAATTGGTGTTTCCGTTTATATTATATATGTATTAATACGTAAAGCAAAAGCCTTGTACGTCTTTTTACGAAAATTTCGCGGACGGAAGTGTATGAAATTTCACACACTTATAGGTTGTATAGAGAAAATGTAGAATGCTAATATATTTTTAAATATTGCATAAAAATACAGTAAACGAATAAATAAAACATTATTCACGCTACCATTATATTACACGACTGATAACAAAACGCTAATGTCTATATTGTTAATTGTCAAATCAGTGAATCGAAGTTTGTTTCTGTGCTGTTATCAAAGTAAACTTTTTGCCTTGCACAACCACATTGTGGAATCACCTTCCAGCAATGATTTCCGAACCGATACGATATTGAAACCTTCAAGAAAAGAGCTTATTCCTTTTGCCGACAACGTACTTGCAATTCCCCTGGTGTTGCGGGTGCTCATGGGCGGCGGTAGTCACTTACCATCAGGTCAGCCGCATGCTCGTTTGTCCCCTGTGTTATAAAAAAAAAAGTAATCATAATATTAATACGTGAAACGAGTCTTAGACAATAGGACCTATTGATGTTAACTTAACTTATAATTTGAATTAATTATGATCGATTTACGACTACTGGGCGACCACTAGTGACCTGTTAATATACGCTAAACTGCTAGACAAGCCATTAAATAAGTGTAAAAAAATTATAAAAATATATAAACGAAGAAAAGTAACCGTTAAATGTTTATAAACAAAGTTTACCAAATTTTGAGAGGGCTTAAATATATCTCTTATGTAAGTACGGACATTAATCAGTAATTTTTTTTCTTATATGAATAGGAAGATTGGTTTATGCTAATAATATTGTCTATGGAGCATATTGTCATTGTAACACCATAGGACAATAGCAACAGTCAACAATGACAATAAATTTGGGTGCAGGTAATCCCATTTTTGGAGGCAACGGCCGCAGAAATCCTTCGACGCTACAGATCGCCTGTCGCCGATAAGTTGATCGTCACAGCTTTTTTGTTTTGTTTTGTTTATGTAGTTTTTACCTGTGATTTTGTTCGTATAATACGAACACATTCATTGAGAGGAATAAAATATAGGCAGATTATGTCCTTATGAAAAGAATTTCTAGTAGTCTTACCTCCACTTGAGTATTTTTAATTAGTTATTTTCTCAAGCTAACATAGACGAAGGTTGAACTAAATGATCGATTACATTTACCGACTAATTACCTTGCTGTTTACAATACCTCTTTGTGCGAAGTGTTACTTACTCATGGCCACGACTTAGCGCCTCTCTGTCCTTGATCCACGGTAGCTGCCTCTATTTGGTGTAGTTAGTACCTACATTGCTACCATACTAATACGTGTGCTGTGATGAATTCATAAACATTTTTAAATATTTAATTATTGGGATAGGTTATGAAGTCATTGTAATCCTTCCTATCTACTAATGCTATCAAAAGTGGGGAGGGGATAGTTAGTAATGTGGACTGATGAGCCCATTACTAGTAACGTACCATGTCAGGTTCTCCTGTAAACCAACATCTGGTGAATTTGCCACGATAGGCTAAACGATATGACCTCATGCTAATCTTATCATCCTCCACTGGTGCCCTGCCAGCGTAAACCTTTAGCACCATAACATTGTCGTTTATTAAAAAAATATTTATTTATTTATTTATACTCTTTATCGCACCAATAACAGAACAAAAAAAAACAATTAAAATTGAATATATACATTGATACGAAAGGCGGTCTTATCGCTCTTCCAGACTACCTTTAGGTGGATAGAGATATAAAAATAAAAACAGGGTAGGCGGTGCACGTAATAATTAAAAATAGAATTATGTTTAAAAAAACCATAAATAGAAACTAAAGACTAAAGTACGGGGTGTGCTACATTACGGCTGATCCGATTTTGAAAATTATTTTAGTGTTGGATAGCCTATTTATTGAGGACGGCGAATACATCACACTACGACTAACAGAAGTTGTATTGTAATAAAAAATGTTGCAAAACAAGGATATACGGCTATTAATTGTAAACTAGCTGGTACGCGCAACTTCGTCTAAGTCAGATATTGGTCATTTTTTATTGCAGCTCCGCTATTATTGCTTGTGGCGTCATATTATATATAACCAATAGCCTTCCACTATAGATGACTATCCAACACTAAGATATTTTCAATTCGAATTAGTAGTTCCTGAGACTAGTAATGGAAGCGTTAAATCTGACAAACTCTTCAGCTTTATAATATTAACTCTAATAGTTAATCTAATAGTTATAATCTCTAATAGTTTCACAGCTTAACCTTAACAGGTAAAAAATCAACATTTAAGTTAGAAATTCTTATTTTTGTACTTTGAGTTGGAGATAGGTCAGTCATGGCCGTGCCGAGACAATATTTAAATCGTCAAGAAAGCATAGTCCTTCCTAAATGGCCTGTAACTTGTTTAATTATTCCCATATGGTTGCGGCGTTCCCATATTCATGGGTAACGGTAATTACTTACCATCAGGGGTACTGAAAACTGGTTTAGCCCTTATGCTTTTAAAAAAATCCGGAATTTTTTTATTGTATATGTAAATCTTCAAAATATAAGAACTCACCTAACATCGAACCTGAATTCGAAATCTATTAGTAATAGGTTAGTTTATTCGAGAGAGTTGATTTGTTTACCTAAAGTAAAGGTACCGCGAGGCCTATTAAAGGTAATGGCATCTCGAGTGTGTTTAATGATCACAAGTACTGCTACCAATGGTAGAAGTAAACTAATAATCAGTAGTTTGACTTGAACGTGACCGAATCGAAATTGAATCGAAAATATAAAAAAAAAATACGGTGTATTCTCATTCTAACGTTACAGTAACATTGCTGTAACATTAGAATGAGAATCCGCCGTATTTTTTTTTATATTTGCGATTCAATTTAAATATATATTTTTAAATTGAATCGAAATTATTATTATAATAAATAAAACGTAATAAAATGTATTTTTTTAAATAAATCTCTGATAACGATGAATCTGAATGATTATTCGAAGCAAATTTGCAGCATTTATGGTAATATTTACGTTAGAGAATATAACAATGACATAGGAGGGTCTTTTTAGAATTGTTTCCTCAATTCTTGTATATAGAATAAACAAAACTATTGTTTTTTTACTTCACGTAAGAAAATAAATTGAATTGTTTGTTTCTCTCTATAGTTATTTATCTATTTATATTATCTATTTACTAGCTGTCCCGGCAAACGTTGTTTTGCCTAACATTTAGGGGGATGAAAAATAGATGTTGGCCGATTCTCAGACCTACTCAATACGCTCACAAAATTTCATTTTATATATAAGATAACATTGTAAGTATATTTACATTGTATGCACATATGGATACATTTTATATCTTTAACGTAGTATTGCAAAACTAATGACATACAAGCGCCCGTCAAAATAATCGTCTAGTCCGGTTCCCGCACGTGTAGTGTGGTGGGTTACTCGGTCCGTCAGTTGTACACCCGACGGCAACAAAGGCACGCGCGCGCTCGCACCCGTTGCATTCCCACAGCTTAATCACGAATAACGGTCCTGTAATAACTACAATACTGTTCATTCAACCCAATAACTGAACGTCGCTAATTAAAAAAAAAATACGCAACACAACGTCACAATGATGCAACTCCGCCAGCCCATTTCGCGGTAATCCAAAAACTTACCTCGTATCGATGCACGTAACACGTGCTCACCCCACATCTTTCACCATTGTCCAATCATAGGAGGGCGACGGATACCGGCGGGTGTCCGCCAGCAAATCGCGCCTTGTATACGATTTCACGACGCGACCCGAACCCGCCCGACAGGAGCCGAAGTCCGCATCGACTACCCCCAGTGCAGCCGCTGCCCCCAACATGGCTGCAATGGTCGCTAATACTCCTATAAATCCCGTGACGAAAAAACCATCAATCAAGAAATACAGAGCTCCAACGCCGCCATCGAAAATCGCGAGCGGCGTTGATGACAGTGAGAAAGACAAAGAAAATAATGTTGTGCAAAAAGAAGAAAATGATAATGACTCAAGTGATTGTGTACAAACAAAGCCGGAGCCGGCTCAAAAGCCGGTGTTCAATTCGCCCATTAAAAAGTCAGCGCCCAAGTTGAATGGTAATGTGGATAGAAGTTCTGTCCTGTCAAAAGCAGCAATGTTTGAGTCAGGTAGCCCAAAAATGAAGGATCCCGCAGAAATGTCTCTGAGGGAGCGGAAAGCTCTTTTCGAAAAGAATAAGGGCGCAGCGATTGTGCCCAAGGCTCCCTTCGGTATGGCACCCTCTGTCAAAACACTTCACGGCGAAAAAGGTAAGTGGAAATTTATAAAACTGTTATTATCTAGTGGTGTCAGCTATAGCGTGCCGTGTTACTACTGTGCATGACAATTATTTATAGTTTATGTTGTGTGACCAATTTACTTCGACTATATTTACAATATAAATTACAGCGATTTTCAATGCTCATCATACGTATGGATTTAGATAAAACTTGTTATGAGCATCGAATAATTCATATTACTATTTTTTGTATGCGTAAATATACAGCGGTGTATCTACATTATGTGTATGTATTATCGTGGATTATAATATGCAATAAGACATCAACTACTTGTAATACACTAGTTCAACTATGGTTTACAATGGTTCATAATAGAACGAATATTTTAGATAGTTTATGGGTTTTACTTTTGAGAATATAATGAAGTGGTTAAAGAGTTATAGTTTTTATACCGTTCTTTTTTATTAAACTGTATGATAAGGTATTTGTTGTATATGAACAAAAAAAAAACAGTATTTTAGTTGGCGTACTTTAGCAGATAGCCTTCAATAGCAACATTTAATTTAAACCTGTATTCTAACATTTTAGAAACAGGATTTTCGACCTTTATTCTCTAAATGCCAAAATGCAATGTCTAGACAACCGCAATGTTAATCACTATGTATAGATGTTATTTAATGCGACGTTACGTTTCAAAGTTAACCTCTTAATTTTAGGGTTACGTCATTAACAATAAAATATTTAATATGTTTTTAAAATTTTCATATTTTTATAAAAAGGCATTAAGTTTTTTTTCGGAATACTTAAACTATCATAACATCATATAACCCATTGTGGGAATTATCTGAAATATGAAAATAGTAATATTTCATTGTCTTATAGAAATTCATCATTAGTGTATGCAAACAATTAGTCTCAAAATATGATTTTGACGAATTCATTGTTACCTCATTTACACTAGGCAGTTTGGGCATGTTGTTGACCGCAACTGCCCTTTACACTTTCACGAACATAGGGGGCGAGTGCAAATTCCATTCCAGACCCGCGGAAGAACTTATGGAGCGGCTGAAGGCCAACTCCTGTTTGAATGATACGACTATACTCTAAGGACACCGGTAATGGTTTGAACCTAAGCTCAGGCCATCGTAATTTCGAACCCCGTTTAAATTGGACGAGGGATCAATGGAGGAGGCGAAAAACAATGTCTTTGAACTAAAGTACTTTGTTGAGATACAGCATTATTTATACACGATTGAATAAATGAAGGCGGTATGAATGTAGTTGGGCGTCCAGTTATTCGGAGTAACTTGTAGGTATAGATTTTCATGCCTCTAATATTTTTATAATGACGTGATACGAATGAGAGATTCCGGTACATCACGTGAGCGTCTTAACTTCATGTTCACTTGTTATCCATCTTAATCTTAATAATATTATAAACGCCAAAGTTTGTGAGTATGGATGGATGTTTGTTACTCTTTCATGCAAGAACTACTGAACGGATTTTGATAAAACTTTACAGTAATATAGCTTATACACCTGAATAATATATAGGCTATAAATTTCACGCGGTTCACCCGCGTGAAATAGCTAGGCAGGCTAGTACTAATATAAATTCGTATTTGTTTGTCTGTCGGTCTGACAACTGAACGGATATTAATGAAATTTGATGTGAAGATAGATTATATCATGAGATCATATCCGATCATAGATTATATCCGTCGATATAGAATATATTTTATCTAAAAAAAAGACATAGTCACGGATAAAAACCAAGTAGACAATAAATTTGAAACTTGTACGGAACGCATGTCGGGAAACCGTCTCGCGGTTTTTTTTTGTCTTGCGAGTACAGACATCATTAATAATGTATGAGGTCATAACGGGGAATCGAATTAAATAAAAATTGATTGCATTATTACGTGTATTATTTATACTAGTTTTTTTACTATTAATTAATTGTTAGTTGCTATCTTGTTATTTGTAGACACAATTATTATGTCGTTTTATATTACTACCGACAATCTACTACTATTCTTAAATAAGAATTTAAGAATCGTGTTAGTAAAAATGTTTGTGCAAGGGACTTCACCATCTTTTTTTGTCTCATTCAAACAGGAACCTAAATTACGACTGTCTGAGTCAAGGTTCGAACTCCTGCTCCTCCGGCATCCACAGTCTGTCAATCAGGAGCTTGGATTGGCTTTCAGCTGTTTCATAAATCCTTAAGCTCTAAGGGCCAGTTAACGCTAACGCATAAAAGCATAAGAATAGTTAGAAAAAAAAATGAAATTTAGTATTGTAAAGTAAATTTAGTTATTGTTGATTTGGGTACTTCACCCGAAATATTTTTAAAATAAATAGACGCAAAGTTTAATTCAACAGAATAATAAATTACGTACACATGTAAGACATTATATATGTATGGAATTTATTTTTAATAATGATATTTTAGTTTTAATAATGCATCGTTTAATCATGCACCTCGCGGTATAGTTACGTCATCTGACTTTAGTCAATTAACACTGTAGCTAAATAACAACGCGATTCCTAATAAATGAGGTAAACCATATAGAATTACTACATAGTAATCATTAAATGAATTTGCTTTATAATGATGATACTTCTAAGTACCAGATATGAAAATTGTAACTCACTTAAGAGTAATCATACTCGTAAATGAATGAAGTTGTTTTATAATGAGGATGCTTCTAAGTACACAGATACTTAATATTTTATATGAAATTTTTAACTCACTACTTAGACCAATATTGTTCTTAAATTCCATAAAAAAAATATTATACCTAAATCAATATCTGATCAGAACAACTGGTCACGGAAGCGCTGTCAAAAGGAATAAGTTTTCCTTGTTTTTGCATCATTATTCATTGCTGCTCCGCTCCTATTAGTTGTAGCGTGATGTTATATAACCTACATAACCTTATGTTTATATGTTTATGGCAAAACTAGGCCTATGCACAACAAAAATCTGCAGATTTATGCCAAACTGAAGAGTAAACGCCACGACACATCCTATAATATGGTTGTAGCCCACTCATCCATAAACGAAATATCTCTTTCGGAAATTTTACACTCTTTCCTGAGGAGATAAAAACCATCGCTCCTAAGAATATCCTTCAATTCTTGTCCCTGACGGGTTTATGTAGCGAACTCTGAAAAAGGGCGAGCACTATAGATCTATGTAGGTCGCATTGCTACAGGTGCTGCAGGCATCCTGTCAATAGCCCAAACAACCCAATAAATATATAGCCTTCTTCTGTAACTGAGCTATCCAACACTAAAACAAATTATGGCGTTCAAAGCAAACAAATTTTAGATTAGAAGTATAGATCGATATTAGATTCAAATAAATAGCACTTATTTATACTATTATTTTTAATTTTGTCTACAGTATTGCAATACAGAATATACATTTTGTATTTGTATTTACATTTGTAACCTGTGTCCTGTTTTCTCATTGTTTTTTATTTTTACGTATACGTTTTTTTTTATTTATTTCCATTATTGTGGCAGTACTACAGTGATATTTCGTTGTCAGATTATTAAATATGTATTTATGTATGTATATATATATATATATATGTAGTTATTTATTCATATATATTTTTATGTGTATCGTTTAATATATTTTTTATATTTGCACCGCCAACAATTATTCTCTGCACCACCCATGGTTGACTGGTAGATAATGCCGCATGGTGTTAAGTCCGCCATATGTACTTTCAATTATGTGCATTAAAGTTTTAATAAATAAATAAATAAATTATTCTTATGCTGTTGCTTGTCGTTAAGTTCTAGTTATACAGTTACCATTAGGTGACTCTAGCTACATCAGCATAGATAGTCTTTTTTTTTTCGGACTACTCTAATGCTGTAGGCCGCAGCTGGCCTTTACAGCTTCACCGGACGTTAGGGGGCGAGTGCAGATGGCACTCCAAACCCGCGGAAGGACTTATGGAGCGGCTGAAGGCCAACTCCTGTCTGACGGATACGACTTTAGTCTGAGGGCACCACTAGGGGTTCGAACCTCGGCTCAGGCCGTCGTAATTTCGATCTCCGTTTGAATTGGATGGAGGATCGATCGGAGGATGTGGAGCGCCTGGGCGCGCGCAGGCGCCCGGTTTTATGCCCGATATTGTGTGTTTGAGTTCGTCCTCTTCGCCGGCGAGGATGGTGTCGTGTGTGTGTGTAAAAGTGTGGTCGGGATGGAACGGGTGGGCCCGTGGGGAGGTTGCCGTTATGGGGTCGTCGGGGTCAATGAGAAATAGTCATGAAAATTGTTCAAGGTCTATATCCTATCCTCTCTTATTACTATTAGATATTCTTACGCTTGTTATTGCTCTTAAAACAAGGGGTTATACTAAATAGACATTACACACATCTATATATATAAATAAAATTGGATTGTCTGTTTGTAATATTGAAAGAACTGTTTTTTACTACATGCATATGAATATAAATACGGTACATACACCAAAATAACATTTTTTACAATTTTTGTCTGTCTGTCTGTCTGTTTGTTCCGGCTAATCTCTGAAATGGCTAGATCGATTTTGACAGGACTTTACTGGCAGGAATCTGATGTAATAAGGAGTAACTTAGGCTACTTTTATTTTATAAAAATAAAATAAAATTCCACGAGGACGAAGTCGCGGGTACAGCTACTTTATAATACTAATAATGTATAGTTATGTCTTGCACCATAAGGGTTGGTTTTAACAGATGCCTTTTAAACTTAATAATCACGTACGTTGCTAAATGCTTCCTTCACCTGCCACCTTTTATATACCTAATGTCAGTGTATAGGTTAAATACATCGCAAACAGCTGTCCTGTCATTATTATTTTATTTATAGTATACTTGAACTTAGCTGTATTTCATTTGATATGTGAAGTTTTTGCTTTACATATCAATTGATACGGAAGTAAAAACTTCATATCTTCAAATCAAAAACTTTGTACATCTTTTTACGAAAATTGCGCTCACGGAGTATGACATTTCGCGCTCTT